GCAAAGAACCAGTGAAGCAATTTTAACTAAAATAAAGGTTTCTTATGGATGAATTTTTAATAATTCAATGTGTTCGTTGGCAAAGCAAAAGTGGTGGCACAATATACTTCTGTTGATGCAAAGTTACTTAGCTAGTTATTGGCATGGTTCAGACAACTCATCACTGTTTTTTATATGCTAATTCAGTCTCGACACGTTTCTCAGTTTCAAGGCACGTAAGGCAGATGTGATGCAAGAAAAGTCTAACCACTCGAAAACTATTCTTCCCAGACTGCTGGGAGTAAAATTCAGATGAGGACAAGCCATTTGACGAAAAAGCGATGAGACAGGTCGCGTAAAGGCAACCGTCATGCCCACTACTATGGATATGACGAGTCCTCCAGTTATCCTGATCCCTGAGCGAATGCAATTCTCCTGCTTAGTTTATTTACCTGAACTTTGTAGACAATTTTTACACTGTCCAGTTCAACCTTGGGCCCCTTTGTACTGAAGAATTCGATGATGTCCTGTACGTTTCCTCAGAATCCTCAGATCCTTTATATTTGGATTTCAATATTCATCTCATTAAGATATATAATGAACATAAATGAAAAATGCTTGAAGCGTAAATGGTAATTCAGGAAATGACGAGTACATCTATAAAGCAAATTCTCAAGTATTGCGCGAGATTCAGATGTGCACAAGAACAATTTTCTTCGACCAAAAGAGTGAAAAGCGGGAGGAGGTTTCGGATGCTTCTACTGAATAATAAATTCTGAGTACACAAAGATAAGCGCTAGTACCAAACAAAGGTAACACTGTAAACTTTGTAATGAAACTCTGCCATTTGACGGGCCATCACACCATGGTTACTCAATCTGTTTGTTTTCTGTTCCCATAAGCAGCTTCACTTCATCCTTAAACAAATACAATGATCAATGTAGACGGTGTGCTGCTTCCAAATGACCTACAAAAACGTATTTTACCCGAATTATGGCGTCCTTTTACCAAAAGGATGATCAAATGTTTCGACAACAACGAAGTCCATGGGTTTTTTTGAGACAAACCATCCGAGGATTTGTCATTCTAGCACTAATCGACATATTTGCAATATTCGTATAGAAGAAAGACCATTATTATTTCCTCTGCTTAACATCATCTATCGATAAGAGAGAAATTTGGACTCCCTTAACAGACATTAGTTGTTGTCAATTATCAATCATAAAATGTCTCTAGGTTATTCCGAAGGAAGGGACTAATGGAAAGAGGATCTGATTTTATTATATTGGTAAAAATTAGATTAGTGTTACTAACTATCAACAATTTGGTATCACTGTTTGACGAAAAGCACAACACATGAAATGCTATCATTATGGAACTAATAATGATTTAGGTCTAACGTCGTTGTGTTATTTTGCTTCGCGATGGCAGTTCAATGTTTTGTTCATTGAAATGCTACAGAATTTGAACATCATTTTTCTAAGGGTTGCATTATTTTTTTACGGAAAACATCTGGGTCAAATTTTTGTAAAGTTTTCAAGTGAATCTCCAACAACATTTCAATTATGCAGTAACCGAACGAAAAGGATATAACCGAGTAGAAGCAGTTAGATTTTCCTTGATGAAAAATTATGTTCTTAAATCATCCAAATGATGTACCTAGGAAACTAGTAATGGCAGTTGCTGCAGTATCCACTTTTAGATTCAACTTTGTATACCGCAAAAAGAGAAGAAAAACCAGCGAATTCCGTTGACGCTGCAGATATTAATTTGTCCCTAGTCAGCTCTAAATGTTAGCATCTTGTTAGCTTCTCAAATGTAATTTTACATCACAGATAGGAGAATGAAAACATACGGATAAGACATATTTGTTCAGTCCGCTCACACATCACGAGTGTTTTTTGTCCTTGAGGACAAAATGCGTGAAAGTCAGCTTTGGATTCGGGGGAATTTCACAAGTGAACTTTCTCTTATTTTTGATAGGTTTAGTAGCGATGTGCTACATGGAAGATGATATGCTATGATAGGTCATTTCCTGCCCTTTTATTAAGAACCGAAAAAGGGAAAGGAGAATTTATAAGGTCAAATGCCGTATGCTATTTTAATTATTATGAGTTGTATCAGGTCAAAGGCAAATTGTTGGATTCGTCGATTTAATCTGAAGGCTTTTGTTGAGCAATGTTAACCTTAGCAGATATAAAGTGAATGGCAGACGGAAACAGGTGGATACTGAGACGACTGTTTGATACTTAAGAAAATACAATGGACATTTGTTTTAACCTTGTAGAAAAAAACAGTCTCTATTATATGTTCTTGTAACTGGCTACAAAGCTGAGATTTCATCTGAGAATATATTTAAAACATTACGTTTAAGTGTGCAGCTGTCCATAGTTTCCTAGCCAATGAATATAATAACGCGATGAAATTATTGAACCACCTTGATAACGTA